TTTTATTTATTTTTTTTATTTTTTTATTTTATTTTATTTTATTTTATTTTTTTTTGAGACGGAGTCTCCGCTCTGTTGCCCAGGCTGAGTGCAGTGGCCGGATCCAGCTCACTGCAAGCTCCGCCTCACCGGCGGTTCACGCCATCTCCTGCCTCAGGCCTCCTGAGTAGCTGGATACAGGCGCCCGCCCACCGCGCCCGGCTAGTTTTTTGTATTTTTTATAGTAGAGACGGGGTTCCACCGTGTTAGCCCAAGGATGGTCTCGATCTCCTGACCGCGTGATCCGCCCGTCTCGGCCTCCAAGTGCTGGATTACAGGCCCATTGAAGCCCACCGCGCCCGCCAGTCAATGTTTTATTTTTTAATGAAACGGTTTGACTTGAATATGCTGTGCACATTCAAGGAACTTAAGGAATTGTTTGAACCTAGTAGTTCTGGGACCTTAGAGTCCTTTCTGTGGGCTCCCTGTGGCCCAGAATTTTGGTGGCCACGTTTAGTATTTCAAGCCTAGCCTAATTTGCAAAGGTCTCCCAGGGTTAATTTACTGGCGTGATCACACGGAGTAGACCAGAGTCTGAGGGCAGCAAACTGTCACCTGCTCCCACAATAGAGACCCCAGATGTTTGGGTGCAAAAGAACTCCATAGCACCCTGGCAACCATGGTGAAACCCCGTCTCTACTAAAAATATAAAAATTAGGCCGGCACAGTGGCTCATGCCTGTAATCCTAGCACTTTGGGAGGCCAAGGCAGGTGGATTGCCTGAGCTCAGGAGTTCGAGACTAGCTAGGGAACATGGTGAAACCCCGTTTCTACAAAAATACAAAAAATTAGCTGGTGTGGCAGCATGCACCTGTAATCCCAGCTACTTGGGAGGCTGAGACAGGAGAATCGCTTGAACCCGGGAGGTGGACGTTGCAGTGAGCTGAGAATGTGCCACTGCACTCCAGCCTAGGCGGACATGCTGCCCTCAAAAGGGACCATCCACCTGGAGGGACGTCTGTCTGAAAAAAAAAAAAAAAAAAAAAAGGAACTCCATAGGATGAACATCCCATATCAGGGAATGTCGACTGTTGACAGTATCAGTATCTACAGTGGCTACTGTCTGATATAGAAAGAAATGGGATCAGGCCAGATGTGGTGGCTCAGGCCTGTAATCCCAGCGCTTTGGGAGGCTGGGGCAGGAGGATCACAAGGTCAGGAGTTCGAGACCAGCCTGGCCAACATAGTGAAACCCCATCCCTACTAAAAATGCAAGAATTAGCTGGGCATGGTGGTGCATGCCTTTAGCTTGAACCCGGGGGGTAGAGGTTGCAGTGAGCCTAGATCATGCCACTGCACTCCAGCCTGGGCAAAAGAGTGTAAGACTCCATCTCAAAAAAAAAAAAAAAGAGAAATGGGACGTCTGTCTTAGACTGAAGAATTCAGTTCTACCTGCTTGGCAGTGAATACTTTTGTCCAGGGTACTCTGGCAGGAGGAAGAGGCGTGTCCTCTTGAGTTCTTGACTTGGGCTCTGCCCTCCCAATATTTCCTTGTTGGCGAAACTGGAGACAACACTCTAGGTGAACGAACTTTAGGCAGTGCAGCCTCCTAGTCTTATGGAACATCTGAGGCAGAAGAAACCTGAATCCAACCTCTTCATTTTATAGATGAACAAACAGATCCTGATGGGACAATGTACCCAAGGTCACCCAGCCAAGAGGCTGAGCAGGACTGTACATCAGATCTGTTGACCTCAGTCCTTAATGCATGCAGTCCAGCCAGATTAAGTGACTGTTAATACTGTCAGCTTTCCCCACTGTGGCATCTTCATCCTCTTGAGTTCTTTTGCAGCCAGACATCTGGGCCTCTTGCTGGAGAAGGTGGCAGCTTGCTGCTCTTAGACTCTAGTCTACTCCATGTGGCATCTGGATGGCACTGAAATTTTCTCAAGTGCCTCGTCTGTTGTAGATAGGGAATCTATCCTCCAGTGACTCAGCACAGGTTCCCCAGTGTGGTCCTGGCTGCCCCGCCCCTGCCAGCTGCAGGCCCCACCCTTCCTGTGGCCAGGCTGATGGGCCTTATCTCTTTATCCACCTGGCTGTGCACAGCACTCCTACTGACAACTTCCTTGGCCAAGGTGGGCTTCAGGGCTCAGTGTCCTGGTTACTGCAGTGGCAGCAACAGCAGGTCCTACTGTTGCCTCCCTCTAGTCTCTGCTTCTCTGGATCCCTGAGGAGGGCAGAAGGTACTGAGGAAGGTGAAAGGGACCAGCCCAAGTATTTCCCCACTCTGAGCCCCAGCTAGCCACAGGCCAGGTTCTGAAGTTCCTTTCTTCCAAGCCAGTGATTCTGGTTCTTGGACAAGGTATTGAGGAACACAAGGAACAGAGGGGACTGTGACCTGGGGACTTTTTCTGCAGGAAGAAAACAGCCCAAAGATGAGAGTGATTCGCGTGGGTACCCGCAAGAGCCAGGTGGGTGCAGGAGCCCGGGTGGAAGAGGTTTGTCAGAACAGTTGTGATGTTCACAGCATCACAAATTGGGGGACTCAGAGGGTTAATCCCTAGTATGGAGGAGATGGGGTGGCTGGGCGTTACGTTCCCTGGGGAATGGCAGATTACATTCTATGGCAAGATCGTCCCTAGGCTGGGAAAATTGTTGGAGTACAGAGGGCTCCCAAGCCCCTTCTCATTCTCAGATGGAAATTCCAGTCCCTTCAGGATCTGCCTAACCTATGAGAGTCTGAGCAGTGGCTGGGAAGGGCAGGACTAATCCAAATCTCTACCCGCAGCTTGCTCGCATACAGACGGACAGTGTGGTGGCAACACTGAAAGCCTTGTACCCTGGCCTGCAGTTTGAAATCAGTGAGTTTTCTGGAAAGGAGTGGAAGCTAATGGGAAGCCTGGTACCCCGAGAGGGGAGAACACAGCATTTCTGGCTTTGCCTTTAGCTAAAGCCTGTCTCGCTGCCCCAAGAATCCCTCTGGGCTGCTCCCAGTTCCGAAGGTGCTTTCCTCTGAATACCTCCAGCTCTGACTACCTGGGTTAGCCTGGCATTTAACATCTTAAGCTTTGGGTCTTTTTAGGAGTCTTTCTGGTCTTCCTGCTCGATCGTAGGTACTCAGAGGGCAGGGACCAGGGATTATGTGCCTCTGTCCTCATCATGAATCGTAGCACAGTGCTGGGCTCAGTAAATGCTGATCAATAATGAGCGCCTGATTGATTGACTCTCTCCTCAGTTGCTATGTCCACCACAGGAGACAAGATTCTTGATACTGCACTCTCTAAGGTAACAACATCTTCCTCCCCAGTTCTTGTCCCCACTCTTCTTTCTTTCCCTGAAGGGATTCACTCAGGCTCTTTCTTGTCCGGCAGATTGGAGAGAAGAGCCTGTTTACCAAGGAGCTTGAACATGCCCTGGAGAAGAATGAGTAAGTAAAGATAGGAGAGTGTGGTGCCCTCCCAGTCTCTTGCTGGGAACTTAGTATGCTAGGTCTCTTGCTGGGACCCCGGGTGCAGATAGGCTGCTGGGCTTAAACCCTCAGAGAGGCTGAAGGCGGCGCATAGGTGGGTTTTTTCAGGCTTCAGAAAAGGAGAGAGTCTGGTTCTGAGCCAGCTGGCTGCCTGGACTGCAAGAATGGCTGGGGGAGGGAGGGTAGGAGGGAGAGTGAGAGGAGGGCAGGTTTCATGCTCCTGAGATTTTGGGAAGGCATGCTTCCTGAACTGCCCTAGGCTCCACCACTGAAGTGGAGGCAGGGGTGGGTGGAGAAGGGGTGAAGGCTGGCTGCTCATTCCCTTTCTCTTCACCCCCATCTCCCATCTCTGTAGAGTGGACCTGGTTGTTCACTCCTTGAAGGACCTGCCCACAGTGCTTCCTCCTGGCTTCACCATCGGAGCCATCTGCAAGTAAGAGTTTTGCAAGTAAGGGGCTTGGGCAGGGGTAGGCATCAGGTGAAACTTTGCCTTTCCCTTTGGGATCTGACCCTCTGCTCCAGGGTTATCTCTTCTGCCCTGAGGAGTGTTGACTGGTGGCAGAAAACTCAGGAAATACCAGTGAGTTGGTGGTGATCTGAACTTAAATTTCTTCCTTCATTCTATGCCCTTCCCTCCTCCTCCAGGCGGGAAAACCCCCATGATGCTGTTGTCTTTCACCCAAAATTTGTTGGGAAGACCCTAGAAACCTTGCCAGAGAAGAGGTAAGTGGGGCCTGGATAGGCAGCTTGGTGGGATGTGCCCAGAAGATGCAGGGATGGGAGGAGGAGGAAAGGAACAGTGACCGCCTAGAGTTAAAATCTCATTGTAACCTCTCTCTGGGCAGTGTGGTGGGAACCAGCTCCCTGCGGAGAGCGGCCCAGCTGCAGAGAAAGTTCTCACACCTGGAGTTCAGGAGTATTGTATCCTTTTAAAAGAGTGACGGGGCAGCAGCCAAGGAAAAAGGCAAGGTCTAGAGGGCTCTGGGAGTCCTGAGAGTGGAAGGGGCTTCCAGCAAGCAGCCCGTGGGGTTAGTGGCCTGTCTGTCCTTCCATCCACTCATCCGTCCACTCATTTATAGTCTAGTGTTTTCTTAGTCCCAGACAAGTGTTTGGAGTGCAAGGCATTGGGGATAATGGTGAGCAAGATAAACATTCCCCTGCATATGTAGAGTTTACTTTTTACTTAGGGATAATGCAGTTATACTGAACAGTGACTATTCTGGAGGGATAGGGAGTACTTCCTTGTTTTTTATTTTTATTTTTTGAGACAGGGTCTCACTCTGTTGCCCAGGCTGGAGTGCAGTGGCGCAATCTAGGCTCACTGCAACCTCTGCCTCCTGAGTTCAAGCAATCCTTCTACCTCAGCCTCCCAAGTAGTGGGGATTACAGGTGCCTGCCACCACACCTGGCTAATTTTTGTATTTTTAGTAGAGATGGGGTTTCACCATGTTGGTCAGGCTGGTCTCAAACTCCTGACCTCAGGTGATCCACCGGCCTTGGCCTCCCAAAGGGCTGGGATTACAGGCTTGAGCCACCATGCCTGGCCAGTACTTCCATTTTTATATGCTACTATATTGTTTTGACTTTTACAATGAATATGTAGTACATTTCATAAAACTAAATTTAAAAATAGTATGTGCGAAGTGCTCCAATAAGTGAAGTTGGGAATTTTCTGGAAACTTCTAGTTGGAACATCTAAACACAGAAGTCTGGGGGTTCAGGGAAGGTTTGTTAGAGGTCTTGTAACCTTGGCAAGTCATTTAACCTCCCTATGTCATTTTCCTTATCTGTAAAGTGGGGATAATAATACTACCTTCCTCACAGGGTTGTTGTGAAGATGAAATGATCTCACATATGGAAAGTACTTTTACAGCAGTGTCTGGCATGTAGTAAGTATGATGTAAGTGTTAGCTGTTACCATTAAGCTGAGAGCTGGAAGATGAGTGAAAGTCAGCCAGCTAGAGAAGGAAAGACAGACTCAGGCAGAGGGAATCTCATGAGGCCCCAGATTGCCCGACACTGTGGTCCTTAGCAACTCTCCACAGCGGGGAAACCTCAACACCCGGCTTCGGAAGCTGGACGAGCAGCAGGAGTTCAGTGCCATCATCCTGGCAACAGCTGGCCTGCAGCGCATGGGCTGGCACAACCGGGTGGGGCAGGTAGGGGCTGCCCCTATCCTATCCCCAGTTCATCTGCATCTCCTTTCTGCCTTATAGTCATCCCCAATTTAGGATTTTTAGACTTTATGATTGTGTGAAAGTGATATACGTTCAGTAGAAACTGTACTTAGTACCCATACAGCCATTCTGTTTTTTACTTTCAGTACAGTATTCATTACATGAGATATTTAGCACTTTATTGTAAAATAGGCTTGGTGTTAGATGATTTTGTCCAACTATAATAGGTTAATGTTAAGTGTTCTGAGCACATGTAAAGTAGGCTAGGTATATTAAATGCATTTTCTTTTTTTTTTTTTTTTATTATTTTTTTTTTTTGAGACGGAGTCTCGCTCTGTCGCCCAGGCTGGAGTGCTGTGGCCGGATCTCAGCTCACTGCAAGCTCCGCCTCCCGGGTTCCCGCCATTCTCCTGCCTCAGCCTCCCGAGTAGCTGGGACTACAGGCGCCCGCCACCTCGCCCGGCTAGTTTTTTTGGTATTTTTTTTTTTTAGTAGAGACAGGGTTTCACCATGTTAGCCAGGATGGTCTCGATCTCCTGACCTCGTGATCCGCCCGTCTCGGCCTCCCAAAGTGCTGGGATTACAGGCTTGAGCCACCGCGCCCGGCCCTTAAATGCATTTTTAGCTTGTGTTTTCAACTTAGCAATGGGTTTATCAGGATGTAACCCCATTGTAAGTCAAGGACCATCTGTCTTCACTTCTTGACCACCCCACCTCTAACACCACAGGCTGGGAAGATTGTGAATCAGAGGCTACACTCTAGGCCTTCATGGAGAAAATTTACCAAAAAAAAAAAAAAGAGGCCAGACTCGCACTTAGGCCTACCCAGGCTTTCTCGATGATAGGAATCATCTCACTGCCAAGTGTTTTTAGACATCCCTGTGTCCACCCTTTTGACTACCTGTTCTGCCTCCACAGATCCTGCACCCTGACGAATGCATGTATGCTGTGGGCCAGGTATACTTGACCAGGGAAGCCACATGGTGACATATCCCTTCCCTTTGTTCTCAACCAAGAAGCTGGTCTCACAACCTTCTGCATCTGCTACCCCAGAATAGCATTCTCAGGGAGGGGCAGGCCTTGGGATGCTACTGGTCCAAAAGGCCCTGGGGAGCAAGTAGATAGAGATGGTCCTATGCTTTGCGCCATTGGTTGGGGAAAGAGCAGGCCTGATGTCCTAGGCTGTTTTTCCATCAGGGGGCCTTGGGCGTGGAAGTCCGAGCCAAGGACCAGGACATCTTGGATCTGGTGGGTGTGCTGCACGATCCCGAGACTCTGCTTCGCTGCATCGCTGAAAGGGCCTTCCTGAGGCACCTGGTAGGGCCTGTGCTCCACCTGTGGAGGGCTGGGGACTTGGAGAGCTGGGAAAGGTGGTGGGGACGATTTCTCACATGAATGCTCTGTATATAGTGCTAACTCATTCTTGTTGAATGTTGTGTATGGAGAGGACCAGGTCTGAGCCCACAGTTATCTTTTCAGTGATGTCCTCAGGTCTGTGGTCACAGGATGGTGTTAAGAGCCCTTGGAGCTCACAAGAACTTCTCATTCCAGGAAGGAGGCTGCAGTGTGCCAGTAGCCGTGCATACAGCTATGAAGGATGGGCAAGTAAGTGGGGGGAAATAGGTGGCAAGCCAGGGAAGGGAGGACTGTGGCATTTCTTCCTGTGCATCCCAGGTTTCTAAGCAGTCCGCTCTCAGACTGTGCTGAGGCAACTGTTTTCTTCCCCAGCTTTACCTGACTGGAGGAGTCTGGAGTCTAGATGGCTCAGACAGCATACAAGACACCATGCAGGCTACCATCCATGTCCCTGCCCAGGTACCAAAGCTGGAGGGTGAGGGGGTAATAAACAAGAGTGCATATAATCTCATTTGTTCTCACCAATTCCCACCTCCTTCCCGCATACAGCATGAAGATGGCCCTGAGGATGACCCACAGCTGGTAGGCATCACTGCTCGTAACATTCCACGAGGGCCCCAGTTGGCTGCCCAGAACTTGGGCATCAGCCTGGCCAACTTGTTGCTGAGCAAAGGAGCCAAAAACATCCTGGATGTTGCACGGCAGCTTAACGATGCCCATTAACTGGTCTGTGGGGCACAGATGCCTCGGTTGCTGCTGTCCAGTGCCTACATCCCGGCCCTCAGTGCCCCATTCTCACTGCTGTCTGGGGAGTGATTACCTCAGAAGACTGAACTGCAGGGTTCAAGCCTTCCGGGAATTTGCCTGTTTGGGGCCTTGATGACTGCCTTGCCTCCTCAGTATGTGGGGGCTTCATCTCTTTAGAGAAGTCCAAGCCACAGCCTTTGAATGTAACCAACCCTACTAATAAACCAGCTCTGAAGGTGTTTTTGTGTGTGTGTGGGGGGGGGGGTTGGCGGGAAGATATGAACAAACACAAAGCCCTTTCATCCTTACCTCGGAGGCTGGGACTTTTGCCCAAAGTTCTCCTGGTACATCCTTTCTGCTTCTGCCTCAATAGTTTTCATTTCACACAGAATAAATTGTCTCGCAGGAACACCAAGAAACAGAGCCATAATCTTAAATTCCTATGGTTTGCTCCTTCTTCGGTTAACAGTAGAGCCTATTTATATTGCATGCCCCTCCCACCCCCACTATCAGGAAAGTATAGAAAGTCACTAATCCTACAACTCTCTTGCAAAATGAAAACAAATGCTCCATTTTTAGAAAAACAATCCTTTAATAAAATTAGTTCATCTAAAACTCCCCAATGCCTAAGGTTCTAGTCTTGGAAGGGTTAGCTGCAAAATTCCAGTTCGGAAGCCAACGGAGGCTCAGTCCAGACAGGGATTAACCGACTTGTGCTGGTATCTAGGTGCTTGGATTGCCGAGTTGAGTTTGCTGGAAGGGAAATGGGGAGGCCCGACAGGCTTGGCTGCCAGTCGGCTTCCGCGAAAACGACTCTTGCTGTCCACATAGCCAGCCGTGAAGCCAAACTGCAGGCCTCTGCCCTCCCCTAAATGTCCCCGTAGGAGGCAGTCACTCGGGAGGAAGATGTGCCTGTCACCAAGTGCTTCGTCCCGGCCCCAGCGCAGACCTATGAATGAAGATGGAGGGAGATCTGATGTGAAAGGCCTGGGTCCCGGCCGCAGAGGGGGCGCCAGACCGAAACCAGCGATCGTGTCTCTCCCACCAAAGCCTCCAGACCAGCGGCCACGTCTGAAAGTCCTGGGCTAAGCACCACGCCGGGGGAGTGCCGGACACCCTGGCTGCAGCTGCCGAGGGCCTCACTCACCTTCAGGGCCGCCGGCCTCTCGGCCTGGACTGCCCACCTCGGCCCTGCGTCAGAGCGGAAGGCCAAGTCTTCCAGAAGGTGCTGCGGCCTCCCCGCAGCCCCTTAGCGACTCAGGATGGGGCAGCTGGCTGAGTCACGAGCGCCGAGGCGGGCAGGTGCGGCGCCGCCGGCCTCCCCCCGGCAGGCTCGGGTCCTCCGCGCCACGGTGGTCCCCGAAGAGTGCCCAAGCCGCGTCCAGAGGGCCCGAGCCCTACCGGAGGGCGGCCGGCGGATGGGGCAGGGCCCGAGGCCGACGCGGCAGGCGGTGCAGGCCAGGAGGGGGGCGGGCGGGGACTCGAGGCCGGGCGGCAAAGGCGGGCGATGGGAGGGGAAAGGAGCCGGGAGCCGCGGCCCGCTTGCCCCGCAGTCTGAAGTGGCTCAGCTCTTTCCATGAGGGCGGTGGTGGCCCTTAAAAGGGCCTTTGTGGTGGCATGGGGAGGCCTGGCGGCCGGCCGCGGCGCGGGCCCTCTTAGTACTCCTGGGAGGCCTGGGTGGCCTTCTTGCCGCCCGAGGGCGCCTTCGGCCCCACGGTGGCGCTGGTCTTCTTGGGCAACAGCACGGCCTGGATGTTGGGCAGGACGCCTCCCTGGGCGATCGTCACGCCGCCCAGCAGCTTGTTGAGCTCCTCGTCGTTGCGGATGGCCAGCTGCAGGTGGCGGGGGATGATTCGCGTCTTCTTGTTGTCGCGGGCCGCATTGCCCGCCAGCTCCAGGATCTCAGCGGTGAGGTACTCCAGCACTGCCGCCAGGTACACCGGCGCGCCGGCGCCAACGCGCTCGGCGTAGTGGCCCTTCCGCAGCAGCCGGTGTACACGGCCCACTGGGAACTGGAGGCCGGCGCGCGATGAGCGCGACTTGGCCTTGGCGCGGGCCTTGCCGCCAGTCTTGCCGCGGCCCGACATGCTAGCGAGGTAGACCGGTGAAGTACAACGGTTCAGAGACACCCCAACAGAAGCCCGCCGCAGTGTAACTGCTGTCGCGCGCGCGCCGTGAGGCCGCCTTTATAAGCCCCCAGGACACACCTCTGCGCCCTCCTGATTGGCTCTTTTCTCCAATACCCGCCTCCGGTTGGTTGCGGTTAACCCTTGGCTGTCGCGCCTCGGCTGAGGGAGCGCGCCCGCTGATTGGTCGAATTTGAAAACCTTTTGCCCGGGGAGAAAAGGCGAGGAGGCGGGGTAGCACGCAGACGGCAAAACACCCGCTGATGTAGCCAATCCTTGTAAAGCGCGCGAGATTTAAACACTACAGTCGGAAGGCAGAACCGGAAGACAAAAGGGGTGGAGTCTGAGGCCACCTAGAGAGCGTCTGGGAAATCTGTGCTGGCGTAGGATGTTTAAAGGAAAGGGGTCAATACTATAGCTACCCTTTCCAGGTCCGGTCACTCCACACTCCCTTCTCCTACCTGACAAAGGGAGAATGGAAAAGGGAAGAAATTAGACCCCTTAAAGTTTTCTTTTTCTTTCTTTCTTTTCTTTCTTGTTTTTAATAGACCAGGTCTTGCTTGCTGTCACCCAGGCTGGAGTGCAGTGGTGTGATCTCAGCTCACTGCAAGCCTCGGACTCCTGGGCTCAAGGGATCCTTCCTGCTCAACCTCCCGAGTAGATGGTACTACAAATGCTCCACCACAGTGGGCTAATTATTTATTTTTGTAGAGACGGAGTCTCGTTTTGTTGCCCAGGCTGTCTTGAATTCCTGAGCTCAGGCAATCCTCCTGCCTCGGCCTCCTAAAGTGCTGGGATTACAGGCATGAGCCACTGTACCCAGTGTCTTTGAAAGTTTGACCCCATGCCAGGAAACAGGATAACTTCAATTTTGTGGCCCTCCATGCCACCTGAAGTATCAGGATTTAAATGTTTATTCAATATGTTCTGTTTGGTCTCAGTTCTGTTCACTTCTTATTAGACGGGGTCTGGTGGGGCAGAGAGAGAGGCATCCTGTTGGAGGAAGTACCCCCACCTACCCTCCCAATCCACCCAAAAATGCCCATATAGGAAATATACCTACAGGAACAATAAGAAATAGACAACACTTTATTGTCTCCATTGAGAGCATGTGGCCCCCTGCTTACTTCTTACTAATCAGAACACTTAATTTACAATCAAATAACAGGTCACTGTGGAGCCTGTGTCCCTAGCCCTGGCCCAAGTTCTATCCCAAAAACCAGTAGTTCCTTGAGAGTCAGGACTCTGAAATGTGACTGTGGATAACTGCAAAAAAAAACTGCTGTATCCCACCCTGTGATGCTGCAAAGACAGGATGGAGAGGGAGAGTAGCAAGTTGCAGAAAGTCATAAGTAAAATCCAATCAGTAGACAGTAGGGGGCAAGAAACGCCCAGGATGCCAGTGATCACAGGGAAAAGAAAATGCTGAGAACAAAATCTGGAAGAGTATGAAGAGTGAGAGAGGCCTGGGCAAGGAGGCAGTCTGGGACCAGAGAGAGGTCAGCCTGAGTCAGGAATCCTAGAGACTGTGAGGTAAAGGACAATGATCAAGGGACTCAGACATCATAGAAGAGTCGAACGAGCTGATATCGAATGGAGAAGGTGAAGGCACTGCCCAGGATCTGCAAGGAGAAATGGACTGGAGTAAGAATCACAAAGAAAGGGAGACAAGGAGGTATAAACCCAATCCCCATCCTCACCTGCAGCAGCAGCAGGAGCAATGTGAGGTTTCTCTCATGTATGGGCCCAAAGATTTTAAGTAGCAAGTTGATGAGGGTCATGTTGTTACATTCAGTGAATTCACCATCCTCAGTATCACTTTGGTGTATTGTCACCAGCCGGAGGCTCTCTGCCACCTGGAGGGACCAGAGGTGAAGAGAACCTCAGCTAATACCTATGCTTTAGGAATGTAATCTATTTAATGCTTCCAAGTTCCCCTTGGATCTGATGTAGGCCTAGGTTCCCCATTCCTCAAGGTCAGGATGGCAGCCTAGGGCCTTACCTCCTTGTTACCCTGTTACCTTTAAAATAAAGGTGCCCAAGAAAGAGAGGCTCTTGGTCTTGAACTTGGAATAGCTCATCTCCAGTTTGCCTGTCTTGATATTGAGTCTGCGGGGGGAAGACAGCTTCATGTGACTGGGCCACTATTTGAACCCTCCTCCCTGTGGCTAATCAATAGGAAGAGCATTGAATGTGGAGTCAACCTGAGATCTATTTCTGGCTCTGCTGCTTGCTGTTATCAGAACCACTGTGAGTATCAGATGATGCAAATAAATGTGCTTTGGAAGTTATAAAGGGTTACTCACATGGAAATAGCCCTTCTTTGGGCCCACTCCCTTTGCACAGCAATGTAAAGGCTGGCATTAGATATCCCAAGTGAAAAGGCTATGATGTCCATTTCAAGCCCCAAAGCGGCTACCTGGGTATGCGGTGGCGAGGGCAGGGGATGATATGCAGGAGCTGAGGCAGTGAGTAGAGGAAGTTGAACACCTGGGGCATGAAGAATAGTAGCATGGTCTTGCTGAAGTGTCCCAAGATGCCCACCACGGCAAAGGTCATGCCAGCAAAGTAACAGAAGGTATCTCCCACAAACACCCGTGATGGGTACCTGTGGGGGGGAGAGGATCCGAGCCAGTGGCAAGAGGCATTACCAATCCTTTCTCTCACATCACACCCTATGGGCACTGGACTAGCCCTGACCCTAGTTCTGACTTAGAGGAGACTCCAGTTGTGCAGCAACTCTGCAGGATCCAAGGCCCTGAATTCATCTATTCCTGGGACCTCCACGCACTCATCCCCAACTACTGTTGGGTAGGGAGAAATTTCAGAATACGACCAACTGAAGACACAGAAAATTCCATGGAGGTATGCACAGGTTTAACCTCTCCACCACAAGGTGGGTTATGATAAGGGCCATCTTTGCCATGTGTTCGGGTAGTTTTCCCCTTTTCCCCTTATCCATAGGCCTACTTACCAGTTGTGGTACAGCAATCCCAAAGTGGTGAAAAAAAAGGGTATCATGAAGTAGAGGGAAAAGACATGATCATCCCGACAATCACCTTTGGAAGCAAGGAAGAAAGAAGGGAAAATTAATACCCACTTCTTCTGCATACCTTGGTCCTATTTTTGTCTAAGTTCTGTTTACAGCTGTATCATCCACCTCACCCAAGTCACTTTCAAGAACTCAATACCCCTTTTATGTCACCCAAGGCAATTCCCAATATTCCACCTCTTTCATGCAGCCTTCCAAACTAGTTACTGTCTTAAATTTGGTTTAGCCCATTCTGATGTCAGTTTGGACACCAACTTTACTTCTTAGCTTTGTGACCTTGATCTTGATCATGACACATTTAACTTCTCTAAATCTGTTTACTCATCTGTAAAACAGGGCTGATTATAACATGTGCCACATAAAACCATTACAAGATTTAAATACGATCATGTTTAAAAAGTACTTAGCTTTAATAAACATTTGTTGATGTCCATCAGCCAAAGACCACTGGAAACACATCTATAGTTCGAAGCTAGGTTTAATGACTTGTTGTAAAAAGGGAGACTTCAGAAACCACACACCATTGGGAACCACGGAATGTCTCAGTAAGAGAGTGTTAGGAGGGGCTTGTAGTTTTGGGTATTTTGGGAGAGGGTAAAAGAAAGTAAGAGTTTTGCTCTGGATTGGGTGCTGTTAGAAAGCAGGTGTAATTCATGGCCGGGTGCGGTGGCTCACACCTGTAATCCTAGCACTTTGGGAGGCCGAGGTGGGCGGATCACCTGAGGTCTGGAGTTTGAGACCAGCTTGACCAACATGGAGAAATCCCATCTCTACTAAAAATACAAAACTAGCTGGGCGTGATGGCACATGCCTGTAATCCCAGCTACTAGGGAGGCTGAGGCAGGAGAATCGCCTGAACCTGGGAGGTGGAGGTTGCAGTGAGCCGAGATCGCACCATTGCACTCCAGCCTGGGCAAGAGTGAAACTCTGTCTCAAAAAAACAAAAAAGAAAAGAAAAGAAAACAACAATAATTCTATGATCAAGCATTTTAATGTTTATCTAAGAAGTGGTAGGAACTGGCTGGCCACAGTGGCTCAAGAGTGTAATCCCAGCACTTTGGGAGGCCAAGGCTGACAAATCACTTCGGCCCAGGAGTTCAAGACCAGCCTAGGCAACGTGGTGAAACCTTGTCTCTACAAAAATTACAAAAATTTGCCAGGTGTGGTGGCGCATGCCTGTAGCCCCAGCTACCTGGGAGGCTGGGGCAGGAGGATCGTTTGAGTCAGAGGATGCAGTGAGCTAAGATCGTGCCACTGCTCTCCAGCCTGGGTGACAGAGGGAGACCCTGTCTCAAAAAACAAAAAAAAAGGTGGTAGGAACTGAGTTGTTATTGGAAAGCAGCAGCAGTCGCTCATGGCTCATGTTAACCAAGAGAGAGGATCTTGGCCATTTTGTGGGTTGCTCAGTGTTTTTGTGGTTTTATCTGTGCTCAAACAGGATTATAGAGGGAGGGGTCTAGTTTTGGTCTTCCTCCATCATGGTCACAGAATGACCCTGTGTAACGTTGAGGTTCTGTGAAATTGTTTATATTCAATGGGAGAAGATCATGGCCTAGCTGTTAGTGCCAATCCAGCTATGAATGACAGGGCTGCTATTTTTCTTTCTCACTTTCAATAAATCTACATTATTTGCAAAGTAAGTAGCCTCCCTTATCTTCTATAATTACTTTCCCTGAATTTCCCAAAGTCATATATCAGGCCACACCTTTAACATTCAGACTTCTCTCTCCCCACCCCCAATCCCACCTACCTTCCAACTCTACCAGGTTGAAGACAATGATGGAAGCAGAAATGACTAGTGACTGGCCAGCCTCTAGGCCATTAATTCCTGCTAGGATATTGATGGCATTGGTACAGAACACTGCCAGCAGCCCCATGTAGACATAGTACAGGATTCCTGAAGGGAGAGATGGTAGGAAAAGTAGTGCCACCTAGGGGAGGAGGATTTAGAAAAGTGGTGAGGACAGAGGATAGGATGAAGGGCTACCAGAAAGGATCTGGGAAGACACAGAGACAGAAAAGGAACACTTGAAGGAGAATGTGAAGCACCAGGAAGGGTGCCCTGAAGTAGGTGCCATAGGAGTAGCAGTGGCAGGACTACCTACCCAAGTCCAGATGCAGGCCAAGAATCGGGCGGAAGGGCTTCGGCACCACAATGGTCGTATTGCCAAAGTTGGTGAAATAGACCATGAGGAGAGGTAGTGAGGCAGCTGTGGGTAGCAGCAGCTTATGGCGCCAGCGCAGATTCAGTACATCATCCGCAAAGCCCAGGAAGATCATGCAGCAGATGGCAAGGAGGGCACCTATCAGGGCCACAAACTGGGGGAGGCTAGGGCAGGTCCATGACTCAAGCCTGCTCCCATTTCACCTTTTAAGAATTCTTGTCTTTTCTTATCATTTCTTAGCCCCTCCCCACAAGCCCAAATAACACCAATTCTCTCAGGTACCTCCCAGGTCCCAGTCACAGGCAACCACCCCCACGAACCCACTTACTTCATGGTGGGGGAATGCCTTACACTGCTCCTTCACAAAGCAGTTCAGGAAGGGGAAAGGGATGAAGCAGAAGAGGATGATAAGGAAAACAGCACCGCTGATCACTCCCTGGGATTCTGGGCTGTGGCCCAGCAGCAAGGGGGCGAGGGGAAAGAGGAAAGGGGGCGTGGTCACTCACTAGTGCAGGTGTTGCAATAACCCAAAGCGGTCTTCTCATTCCTGGTTTTTTATTTTGGGAAGTGGTGAGGGAGGCGGAGGGAGGAAAGCACCACTGCTAGAGTCCCTGATATACCCAAGGTTCCCTACCCATCCTTTCCCTAATGCGAATAAGTTCTGCTCATCACCTCTCCGAGTTCCAGGCTGCCTGGGTTAGTTCTGAGTTTTCACGTGTGGTCAAGCACCCCGGTCCCCGCCCCTGCCCTAGCCACTCCTTCCTTAGCCCTTGCCCCCTGCCCGGAACCGTGTGCCGCTGCTCACATCTGTTGTCGGCTGGTTTTGTTGAGGTCCTGACCACAGAGGCGCGCAGCAATGAAGTGGCCCCGGAAGGCTGGGATGAGGGTGACTGTGGCCACAAATCCCAGCAGCGAGACGATCAAATTGACCAGCAGCGGCATGGGCAATTCCGAGAAGGCCAACATGGTGACCGGTCAGGGGTCCGGCTCCGCCGCCTCTTCAGGTAACTGGCAAGCTGAGCAGCAGTCCTGAGGCCTCAGCAGTATGGAGTGGCCGCTCCCCACAGGCAGGCTCTTCCCACACCAATCTGAGCAGAATCCAACAACTCTGACTTGAGTCGCCCTCGGGACCTCGAAGAACCTCTCTAAGGCAACCTAGGTTCTGCCCCACTGAACCAGCCTACCTACTGTTTCCGCCCGGATTTTGTTCGCTGAACAACTATTACTGCGGAGGGCGGCAGCCGCCATTTTTAATATGGGCACTAGAGGTGTGTGTGTGTGGGGGGGGGGGGTGGAGGTGAAAAAGAAGTGTGATTCTAAATTTCATCCTATGTTCGAGAGTAGAATCACCGAGAGAGTATTGGAAACGCAATTAAAGAAAAGCAGCCAAGAACGGATACTTCCCTAACATTATTTTAAAGATGTACTACCCAGAGCGGAAATGCCAGTTGCCCGGTTCCAAGATGAATGCCTCCTTGTACCACGTGTCTGATACAGCTCACATTCCGGTTGCACGTCAGTTTTAGCTCAGTCCGCCTCCGTAGGTCAATTTTAAAGGGCCCGTACGTTGCCCTTAATCTGGGATGCCTCCGGCTTCAGGAAAATGGCTATTGAAAGGCAGGGGGTGGGGAGGAGGGACGATGGTGTGGAGCCGCGCCTGTGCCTTGCAGGAAACCTGTTGCCAACATAGTCAGAAGCCAAGGTAAACACAACTCAGTTCCCGGAAACGCAGCTACGGTTTGGAAGGATGGTGTAAATTCTGAAGCGTAGATCCTTGAAAAGCCCCTCCCACTCTGTTTTTCTTGTCCTCGATCCTGGTATTTTTTTCTCAGCATCCCACCCACCTTCTGCCCCAGCTGTAGCAGTTAGTTGCCCGGCAACCCAGCGCAGCACTTCACTCAGGGATTGGGAGTACCCTCAGGTCTTGGATTTAACTCGGGACTTCAGCTTGGCCCTGGATCCATTGTACTTAGCGCCCACAAGGAGGAGACGGAGATTTCCAGGCTGAGGCTCTGGAAACAGCTAAGGAGGCAGAGGAATCAGACCCACAACTGACTTCCTGTGAGTCTGAGGAACTCCCAGTCAGGTTTCTTCCTGTAGGTCACTGTGCATTTTGCTTGGCCTCCTGCAGGTCGCTGTGCATTTTGCTTGGCCTGTTCCCCTGCAAACAACAATTCGCCAGCTGTTTTTTTTTTTTTTTTTTTTTTTTTTGAGATGGAGTTTCGCTCTTGTTGCCCAGGCTGGAGTGCAATGGCGCGATCTCGGCTTACTGCAACCTCCACTTCCTAGGGTCAAGCGATTCTCCTGCCTCAGCCTCCCGAGTAGCTGGGATTACAGGCAGTAGCTTGGATTACAGGCATGCGCCACCACGCCCGGCTAATTTTGTATTTTTAGTAGAGACGGGGTTTCCCCATTTTGGTCAGGCTGGTCTCGAACTCTTGACCTCAGGCGATCTGCCCACCTCGGCCTCCCAAAATGCTGTGATTACAGGCCTGAGCCACCACGCCCAGCCAGTTCACCAGCATCTTTTTCTTTTTCTTTTTTTTTTTTTTTGAGACGGAGTCTCGCTCTGTCACCCAGGCTGGAGTGCAGTGGCCGGATCTCAGCTCACTGCAAACTCCGCCTCCCGGATTTACGCCGTTCTCCTGCCTCAGCCTCCTGAGTAGCTGGGACTACAGGCGCCCGCCACCTCGCCCGTCTAGTTTTTTTGTGTGTTTTAGTAGAGATGGGGTTTCACCGTGTTAGCCAGGATGATCTCGATCTGCCGACCTCGTGATCCGCCCGTCTCGGCCTCCCAAAGTGCTGGGATTACAGGCTTGAGCCACCGCGCCTGGCCACCAGCATCTTTATTACCTTTCATTCCCCCACAGGCTCTTAGGCGGTAAATGATTTCCATTGGTCAGAGAGGAAGTCACCACCAGTGAGTTAGGGAAAGGACTCCAATAGCCTAGCACTTTGTCCACTCTTCCCTCTTTGGCATGTTCCAGGAGTCAGGGTCATGTTGACTCTTTTTAAGCCGAAGATAGTTCCTTCCTTCCCTCAAAATCAAATGTGAGGCCGGGCGTGGTGGCTCATGTCTGTAATCCCAGCACTTTGGGAGGCGAAGGTGGGTGGCTCACCTGAGGTCAGGAGTTCAAGACCAGCCTGACCAACATGGTGAAACCCCATCTCTACTGAAAATACAAAAATTAGCCGGGTGTGGTGGCACATGCCCGTAATCCCAGCTACTCGGGAGGCTGAGGCAGAAGGATCGCTTCAACCCAGGATATAGAGGTTGCAGTGAGCTGAAATCATGCCACTGCACCCCAGCCTGGGCAACAGAGGGAAACTGTCTCAAAACAAGCAAACAAACAAACAAACAAACAAACTCAGATGTGAAATGGCTTTTCTACTTGAAAATGGCTCTAATTAACAACAAAAACCCAGATATGTATAAAATACATACATTCTCATAATTTACTTGCTAGTATTCCACCAGATTTTCAGTACTTATCCCACTGCTGTTATTTTTCTGTGTGTGTGTTGTGTGTATGCACGTGTGCCCCTCTTGAACTAGAAACTCCCAGGAGGCAAGTGTTTTCTCTTCCACAGGGTGTCCCCATGGGGCTAGGAACACAGACATCTGTGTACAAGGAAGGCATCATCACACGTAATGAGGCTGAGTCTGAAAGAAGCACTGAGGTGCATATGGAGGGAGCAATCAGTTGTGACCACAGTAAGTGGTCTTGAGGAAGAGAAGTATAATTTCAGTAGATTATAAGAGTAGAAGGACCTTTCACAGGCAGCGACAGTGAGACGCCAGAAGCAGGTGGAAAGGAGGAGCTTGTGGGATCCCAGAGGAGGCAGCATTCAGTTATTCAGTTATCCTGTTGATGATGAGTATACTGAGACTCCCTGGAGGTCTGAGAGCCAGTCTGTATCTATTTCCTTTTTTATTAGGAGGCCAATCCTAATAAATCTTCCTTCCCAACCTGGTATTGGGAAGCTTTGTCTCTTTCTTCTCCAGAGATCATTAGCCCTCCCTACCATCACCCTCCTGGGGAGGGCGGGAGGACATAATCAAAGACAAGAGATACTAAGGATTCATCATCCACATATACAAGTTACCATCAGAAAATGGTTACTAAGATGCTTGTCAGATAATCTGAGTATTTTTGTTCCCATGATGGTAAAGGCCCAGTTGATTATCAGACTAATCAGAAGGAGAAACAAACAAACACATGATTTTTGGCTTCACTTGAAGTTGTGTGCCTTTCCTGGTAAAAGTTCAAAGCATTTTCTTGAATGCTGCCGCAGGCCCTAGAATTCACAGACCAGCTGACTTGTCAGTGGCCCTGGACTGAGCAGACAGTGTTTGAGATGCACATCTCTTCTAAGTAGCCCTGAGTGGCTCCCAATGAGCAAGGTCAATCCACTAAATCTGATTGCTAGACAAAGCCTGTCCCAAAAATGTTTCATAGTGCCACAAAGACAATGAGACCCCTCTGGATAGTCTGGGGCTGTGACACTTGCAGGACTCTATCTGTGGCTCTGTCCAGACAGCTGAATCACTCTTTTTCCTTTTCCTCCCACCTCTCCTCTCTTAGTCTAGAAAAAAAGTTGTTAATTAAAAGCAAGCCCCAGGATTTCCCATTCCACTGGTATGGCATGAATGATATTTCAAAAGACAGAAATGGCATAGAAATTCTCTTCTGTTAGTCCCCCCTTTTTTTTTTTGAGACGGAGTAGCCCAGGCTGGAGTGCAGTGGCGCCATCTCAGCTCACTGCAACCTCCGCCTCCCAGGTTCACACCATTCTCCTGCCTCAGCCTCCCTAGTAGCTGGGACTACAGGCACCCGCCAACACGCCTGGCTAATTTTTGTATTTTTAGTAGAGACGGGGTTTCACCATGTTAGCCAGGATAGTCTCGATCTCCTGACCTCATGATCCGCCAGCCCCAGCCTCCCAAAGTGCTGGGATTACAGGCGTGAGCCACCGCGCCTGGCTAGACTTCTTAAAATTACAAAGTTTGTTAATCCCTACTATGTGCATAGGAAGCTCTTCAGTACGGTGGAGGATACAAACTGATATAATTATAGTTGCTTGTCCCCAAGGAGTCTACCTCAGCATATTTAGAGCATCTTGGTTGAATTTGAGGGAAGAGATATGACTAAGACATGGTTCCCACCCCTAGGCAGCTTCCTGATGAATGGAAAAAGCAGACATATAAACAATCAGCTAGACTCTAAGGCAGAATGAAGTAAGTGTTAGATGTCCAAGTAATGGATGAAAGAGGGAGGGCCAGGCTGGGTGCAGTGGCGGGAGGATCACCTGAGGTCAGGAGTTTGAGATCAGCCTGGCCAACGTGGTGAAACCCTGTCTCTACTAAAAATAACAAAAATTAGCCAGGCATGATGGCTCATGCCTATAGTCCCAACTACTTGGGAGGCTGAGGCAGGAGAATCACTCGAACCTAGGAGGTGGAGGTTGCAGTGAGATGAGATCTCGCTACTGCACACCAGTCTTGGCAACAGTGACTCTGTCTCAAAAAAAGAAAAAAAAAAAAAAAAGAGGGAGGACTAACTAGGGAGACTCATGTAAGACTGAATTGTGAAGCAGTATCTGGCAGCATAGGACCAAGCACTCAGTGGAGAAGTTAAGGGAATAAATCAAAGAAGTCGGAGAATGGAGATCACTGGGGTTCTGAGGGTTCCTGAAGGATTCTTGGGGGAAGAGGGTCTTCATAGGGAAACCTTCTACCTGGACAACTTCCTGCATAACCTGCTCCCCTAAACCCTAGCTGCTCTCCCCACTGACAGCTTCCTCCTGCATCCCTGGGTTCTGGCCCTGAGTTCTCTCCTCCCTTGATTTCATGCCTTCTCCTCCCTTTGAGATTAGAAACCCAGACTCTAGGAATCTCCACTGATTTGGCAGTCCAGTGACAGTACATGGGCAGGCCACAGGAGGTTACTTCATTCATCCCCACCTCTCCCCATCATTTCTTACAGGGAAATCCAGGGAGGCCCAGCCTACCCCACCACCTCCTCTGGCTTAGGCAAACCTGTTGCTGACCTGTCAGGTTCTACCTAGCCCTGCAACCTCACACTTTAGAAGGCATTGTTTATTCTCTTATTTTCATGTGCTCATTCCTCGGACAACTATTTGGGTTTGGGAGAAAGATACTTAACACCTTTCCATCCTACCTCTTTAAGAAAGGGACTGTGTGCCAAAGACCTTCCCACATGTATGAAGAAGGGGCTCTTGGGAGAAAGTGAATTCCCACAGGATTCCTTTGAATCCTTTTGCAGGTATTTCCTTCCCCTGTCCTCAGCAAGCATTGATGAGCCCCAGTCCTGTAGAGCTTGAATCAACTCCTTGAGTCTAGGAAAAGCTGGCTCCTGAGGCCAGAGGTTGGCCAGTGTACCTACAGCACCATTTCTTGGGAGCTTGTTGGGATATCACATACTCGGAGTGCAAGGTCTTGTGGCTGAATCTATTCAGTCCAGTGTTACATTGCCAGCTCCCCTGTCATTACCACCCTCTCTGCACGTGCTCTATAGGCAGGAGCTGTTACTATGGAAATATATTATTTTTAAAAACAGACACACAGCCTGGGCTTGGGAATCTCCAGAACAAACCTACACGGGCAAGTAGGTTAATGGGGCTGTTTCTGGGTCCAAGCTCCAAGAGGAAGGAGGGTGATGATGGTGGGGGGAATTCAAAATTCGGAGTTCTACTCTCAACCTCTCCCAGCTTCAAGTTCTGCTTTCTCTCTGTTGACATCAGCTGAACCTCTGCCAGACACTGCTATCTGGGAGGGATGTTCTGCACCTTCTTACCCTGGGCCTCGCTTCCCCCAGGAAATGGGAAGCTAGAAGTCGCTGAGTCTGGGGGTGTTGGGAGAAGGGGGCGGTGATTTCCACAGGGGTCACCTCCTTCTTAACCTCACAGGCGTCCGACCTGTGGAAATCTAACAAGCACAGGGGAAAGCAAAGGCAGGATCTTAGGTAAGTGAAGTTACTCTTGCCTTGAGCTGAGTGTGGGAGCACCGCGATAGCAAGATGGGGCGAGGTGATCAAAGATCCCGCCTATTTTCAACCCCGGAACCTCCTCCGCTGGCTGCTCGCCCTCCCGCCCTCCTCCAGCGAGGGAGCGCCAGGCTGTCGTGGCCCCGCCCGGCGCGGGTGCGGCTCCTTTAAGGGCGGGTGGGGGCGGGGCGCCGGCGGTGTTGTCAGTGTCAGCTCTGCGCACGCAGCCCTCCCGGAGCCGGTGCCGGCCCGCGAGCCCCAGCGTCTTTGCAGACCAGTCCTCTACCGGGTCCGGCGGGGCCCGCGCGGTGGGAGGAGTCGGGCACTGGCCGGCGACTAACTAGGGTCCGACTGCTGACCAAGCTACAAGGGACCCGGACCACGGAGACAGAGACCCCGGCGTCGCGACCCCCGAGGACCTCCTCTCCTCGCTCTGTGGCATACACTAGTCCTGGGCACTCAACCGCGGAGAGCCCCCGACCCCGCGCGCCCAGCCCCGGGGGAGCCCGCCCCCGCCCCGCGGCCAGCCCGGGCCATGCTCCCCCGGGGTAGCGGCTGAGCCTCAGCCGGGACCGGGACCGGAGCCCGCGCGGAGCATGGATCCGGGCTGGGGGCAGCGGGACGTGGGCTGGGTGGCCCTCCTGATCCTCTTCGCAGCCTCGCTGCTCACGGTGTTCGCCTGGCTGCTGCAATATGCCCGGGGCTTGTGGCTGGCGCGGGCCCGCGGGAACCGGGGCCCGGGACCCGCCTTAGCGGGGGAACCCGCGGGTTCCCTACGGGAGCTGGGCGTGTGGCGCTCGCTGCTGAGGCTGCGGGCGACTCGGGCTGGCGCCGCCGAGGAGCCAGGAGTCCGGGGCCTCCTGGCGTCACTCTTCGCCTTCAAGTCTTTCCGGGAGAACTGGCAGCGGGCTTGGGTGCGAGCGCTGAACGAGCAGGCCTGCAGGAACGGGGTGAGTTGGACCAAGCGCTTGGGTGGTCCCTTCAGCCTTTCCTTCCAGGGGAGGGACTGACTGCTCCTGCTAGGAGGCCAGTTGGGGGTGGGCATTAACGGGGGAAACCTATGGCTTCTCTTCCCCTCCCGGATCAGAGAAAAGGGTGCCGCTAAGGCTGGGGGTTGTAGAAATCCAACTGGGTTCCCAGACCTCCATTTCTGTGGGCAAGGTACTCTGGCTCCAAACCCATGCACAAGTTGCTGTTCTCATAGCAACGCTAATCCCTGTGCTTGAGGGCACTTCCGCCTTGCCTGGGTGCTGGTTGTGTTGGGGCGTGGGAGACAGGTGCACCTGCAGAAGGAATTTGCCTGCTTCTCATGCCACCACACCCATTTAACATTTCATGCCCCAAATCCCTGGTGTGGTCGGGCAGATCCCCAAAGAGCCTGAATCACTCCCCTACCCCACAGTAATTTCACTGCTACAGTCAAACACATTCTCCATGCTGGCCTGTGGTTCTTTGGGGGGTGGGGGAGTGTTCAGGTGGAGAACAGATTGACAGTGCCCTTACCAGTAGATGAGCTTGCAGCTGCCCCTTGAGGGTCAGTCACAAACCAGTCCAGCCTACTTCCTCCCATTGCACCATGGGCATCTGGCCTCCCAGGAAGTGGGGCAGGAAGCGTGGTCATGAGACGGAGATAAGGTGGGAGGTAGAAGTCTCTCTTTTCTGGAGCTCCCTCCCATCCTGGCCCAGCAATCTCTCCTTGCTCTCACAGTCCATCAGCTCCTTGCTCAGAGGGTTCTCTATTTCCAGTCACTATGAATTTGGAGGCTTTACCTTACTAGTTCCCCAGATGCCTGGAAACAGAAATGGCCACAAGAAATTGCTCTATTTCCTCTGTCCAGCTGGCGGGCTGAAAGCCAGATGGCATCTGTCAGTTAATACCTTGCACCCACCTCTTCATCCAACTCTCCCTGTACCTTGTCCCTCGGTCAGAAGCAACTCCCCAGGATAGCTGACTCAGCTGGACATTGGCCTCCCTTGCAGAGGGTGGGGAGATTGAGGTTTCAAGCATCTGTCTCCCCATCTTCCTTGGCCTAGCCTTTGAATGAGACAGCTACCAGAGCAAAGGAGTTGGCTTCCCCTGGTTTGCCAGGCAAATGAACCCTGTGGATTTGTTTCCTCCATCTCAAGACCCAAGGAAGAGTTGCCAGCCAATTCTGTGCTCCTTCCTCAATTCTGTGTCCGCACTGCTCTCCATCCAGGTGGGGCTGCGGTAGGTTGCTTCCATTATTGTGGAAGAATTAGGGAGCAGCTCTTTTGAGATCTAAGCAGCTTTCTGCTCTCTAATACCTTCCTGCTATCTGCCTTGAGGAATTAGCCAGGCCCCTGGACTCTTGAGACCTCTGAGCTTGTATCTTTTCCCAGTGCCCCGGTACAGATCCCCAAGGCCATGCTAGTCTTCATCTCCAAGAATATGAAGCATCATACTCTTGAGCTTCCACATCCTATTTATTTGGAAGAAGGCTTAGCTTCATTTCTCCAGCTCTTACCTTGGACAAGGTGGCTCTACCACCTTTACCCGTGGCTTAGCCCTTTCCCTCTCTGCCCAGCTATTATATATAGGTGGCAACCAGCACCTTAACTTTTTTCTATGTACACGTTTTTTAGGTGTAGGGTAGGGGATGAAAGGGATGGTGGCGAGAAGAAGAAGGAAGCTCCTGGTATTCCAGGAGGAAGCCAGGGTCTTCAGCTCAAGGTGATCTAGTCTCTGAGGTGGACTAACTCCCCATTGCTCAGTGGCTCCTAGCAGCTACAGGCCCCTGGAGAGGCAGGCTTTGAGGGGACTACCTCCTGTCCTAAAGCCCTGAGCCAAGGAGGGGCCAGAAGCCAGCCTGCAGCTGAGGCCTCCGCAGTGGCAGAGTCCAGCCAGCAACTGAGCAGGCCAGCCCTGTGGGGGCAGCTCCAGAAACCTGATCCTGTGCCCACATTACTCCTTCAGAGCTCCATCCAAATCGCCTTTGAGGAGGTGCCCCAACTCCCACCCAGAGCCAGCATCAGTCATGTGACCTGCGTAGACCAATCTGAGCATACCATGGTAAGGGTCTGATGGGCACTGCTGTCTTTGGGGTCCAAAAAGAACTGATCCCAAGGGCTCCCTTTAGTCCAGAGGTTCTTAACCTGGAGTCTGTGAATGCCTTTTGGATCTAAGGATTGACTTCAGGAAGTCTGAGAATCCCATTGAAGTTATGCGCAAAATGTTGGATGTGTGTTTATCTGCATTTTTCTGGGGAGAGGAGTCTTTGGCGTTTATCTGATTCTTTTAGGGAGTTATGATCCTGAAAACATGAAGTCCCTAGGAAAATGGAAGTGGGGAGGGGTCTGCTGAACTATTATAGGGCAGGACAAAGCAGGGCGAGCTCCCTTCCCCCACATCTGACCCACCTCGCCGGTCTCAGGTGCTGCGTTGCCAGCTCTCTGCTGAGGAGGTGCGGTTCCCAGTCTCTGTGACCCAGCAGTCCCCCGCTGCTGTCTCCATGGAGACCTACCACGTCACTCTGACACTGCCACCAACACAGGTAGAAGGGGATGTGGGAAACTGAGTTGGGCAGGGGGCGGTTCCATTGGCTCGGCTTCTTCCATTTGTTTCCTCTCTGGGATGGAATTCAGGAAGGGAGGGTCCTCAGGAATTAGGAGTCCTTGGGGAAATGGGGCAAGTCAGTCCAGTCACTTTGTTCCTGTCCGTAGTTGGAAGTCAACCTGGAAGAAATCCCTGGTGAGGGGCTGCTCATATCATGGGCCTTCACTGATCGCCCAGATCTCAGCCTAACGGTGCTTCCCAAGCTGCAGGCCAGGGAGGTAAGGAGGCAGGGGTGGCAGAGAAGAGGCAGAACAGGGAGGGAGGCAGAGGTGGGGGATCCACCTCCTTGTTGTTCCCTTCTTCTCTCTACAGAGAGGTGAGGAACAAGTAGAGCTCTCCACAATTGAGGAACTGATCAAGGATGCCATAGTCAGCACCCAGCCAGCCATGATGGTCAACCTCAGGGCGTGCTCTGCCCCAGGAGGCCTGGTGAGTTGGCACCCAAAGCAAAAGATTTGCATGCACCTTGTCCCCAGCGTGCTATGTCAGGATTCTTGCTCTTTGGACCTTCTTCTATTCTTAGGTACCCAGTGAGAAGCCACCCATGTTGCCCCAGGCTCAGCCAGCCATTCCCAGACCTACCCGGTTATTCCTACGGCAGCTTCGGGCATCTCACTTGGGAAATGAGCTGGAAGGTGAGAGCTAGAAGTGGCTGCGGGACTGCCAAGGCTATGGCTGGTTGCAGGTGCTCTCTGCCCCTCTGCCAAGGGTGCAGCCTCTTTATTCTGCATTGACTTTCCATCTTTGATCTGAGCATCTTCTAACTTCTGGTTCCTCCCAGGCACCGAGGAACTGTGCTGTGTAGCTGAACTTGACAACCCCATGCAGCAGAAATGGACCAAGCCTGCGAGGGCTGGACCCGAGGTGGAGTGGACAGAAGACCTGGCACTGTAAGGAGTAACCCTGCCCCGACCCCATGCTCCACAGCAGAAAGGATCAAACCTTTCCAGCACAGCCCTTGCAGGAATCAGCTCTTGTTTTCAGTAGCCTTTGGTGTGAGCTCCTATTGTATGCCAGGTCCTGGTGTGGGTCTAAGGGATACAGACTTGACCCCCACCCCTGGGTCAATGACAAGCTTGAGGCAGAGACGGGTATAAACAAAGAAGATGGTATAACCACTCCAGTTGAGGTTTATATAATGTGTCACTGCAGTGCCTAGGTCGGGGGGAGATTAATTCCCATGAGGGAATAAGGATCAGAGTAGGCTTCATGGAGGAGATGGCATTTAAACCACACTTTAGAGCAACAGTAGGATTTCATCAGAGTGTGAAAGTATTCTCGGCAGAGGGAAGAGCTGGAGCAAATGAAAGAGGGTGGCTTGCAACTGAGAGACTGGCAAGACAGGAGGAGCAGGGCCAGGGAGGATTTGAATGCACAGCTGAGGAGCATGGTTCCCACTCAGGCCCTGTCCCTTTCTCTTGGGATGAGAGAGAATTTGGAATTGGAGCATTTGTGCCATTTTATTTATGTACACAGCTCTCTGCCTCTGGCCTGTGATCCACTCAAGTGTGGGTTCAGCTTGGTAATCTTCCCCTTCCTGCCCCATCTCCTCTTGTCCCACAGGGATCTGGGCCCCCAGAGCCGGGAGCTGACCCTTAAAGTGCTGAGGAGCAGCAGCTGTGGAGACAGTGAGTGAGGGGCGGGAGGGGCACCCCTGGGTGGGTGCAGAGTGGAGCCTGGCCGTGGGCCCAGCTCATAGTGCCATCCCTTTCCCCAGCCGAACTCCTAGGCCAGGCCACACTGCCTGTGGGCTCCCCCTCCAGACCACTTTCTCGAAGACAGGTGTGCCCACTCACCCCAGGGCCAGGGAAAGCCCTGGGACCAGCAGCCACCATGGCAGTGGAGGTAAGAAGCTGACCCCTGGGGCAGTGGGAGGACACAGGGGATGGGCAGTCTCTGAGGCTCTGCCTCTTCTCTCTCCCACCCCTGGGCAGCTTCAGTACGACGAGGGCTCTCCCCGGAACCTGGGTACTCCCACCTCCTCCACTCCACGCCCCAGCATCACACCTACCAAGAAGATTGAGCTTGACCGGACCATCATGCCCGATGGCACCATTGTCACCACAGTCACCACCGTCCAGTCCCGGCCCCGTATAGATGGCAAATTAGGTAAAGAGAAGGAGCCTGGGAGCCCAGCTCTAACCAGGGGCCTGGGACTGCAGACCCAAGGCGAGACAGTGAAAGAGGAGAGAAAGCCTTAATTCCAACTCCCCCTGTTTTCAGATATTCCATTCCAGTCCTACCACATCTTCCTCCCAATCGTTGTCTCTTTCAAACTTTCTCTTACCTTCTGCCATTTCCCCAGCAATTCCTCTCACTCTACCACCCTTCTGGATCCTCGTGCCCCTCCTCACACAGGACTGTTGCACTCCCACCTTCCAGCTTCCCCTCTGGCTTTTCACAGGTGTCCTTAGCCCTAGCTGACTATAAATCCATCCTGCTACCCTCAGCCCTCCAGTACCCCCTGGGTTCCTCCAGCAAACCCAGAGGCCTCTGTGGCATTTCTGCCCCACTCAGTGGGCCCCCATGGTACTTTGGCCATTATAGGGGCCCCCATGGAATTGCCCCAACCTCAGAGGACCCCAGTACCCCCACTGTTCCCCCTCCATATTTTCATAGCATCTCCCCATACCCTCAGCAGGCCCCATGGCACTTTCCTACACTCCCATTAGCTCCTGGGGTGTCTTTTAGTCCCCACGGCATCTTCTTAATCACCCTTGTGATTAATCACCCCTCAATCATTCTTGCCCTCTGAGTCACCCAAAGTCTGCATCTCAACAAAGACAGTAGGGGTGGGGGCCACTCTGAAGCACCTCCCAGCTCACTGACCCTCCCCCACCCACCAGACTCCCCCTCCCGCTCCCCGTCCAAGGTGGAGGTGACCGAGAAGACGACGACTGTGCTGAGTGAGAGCAGTGGCCCCAGCAATGCCTCCCATAGCAGCAGCCGTGAGTGGGGAATGGGGTGCATGAGTGTGGGTTGGCCCTGGTGCCCCAGCATCAAAAAGTACTCTGAGTTCCAATCTAAGAAAGAGCCAGGGAGAAGTCAGGTTATCCATCCTTTGCACTCCCAGCAGGGGACAGCCACCTTTCCAACGGCTTGGACCCTGTAGCAGAGACAGCGATTCGCCAGCTGACAGAGCCCAGTGGGCGGGCGGCCAAGAAGACACCCACCAAGCGCAGCACTCTCATCATCTCTGGTGTTTCCAAGGTAACAGGGCTCTGGGGAGAGCAGCTGGGATGGGGAGAAAGCCCTAATGAGTCGGTCACTCCTGCCCATTTAAACTCGTCCCTCCTGCCAGGTGCCCATTGCTCAGGACGAGCTGGCACTATCCCTGGGCTATGCGGCATCCCTGGAAGCCTCAATGCAGGATGATGCAGGGACCAGTGGAGGTCCCTCTTCACCTCCCTCAGACCCACCAGCCATGTCTCCAGGACCCCTAGATGCCCTCTCCAGTCCTACAAGTGTCCAGGAAGCAGACGAGACAACCCGTTCCGATATTTCTGAGAGGCCATCTGTGGATGACGTTGAGTCAGAAACGGGGTCCACTGGTGCCCTGGAGACCCGCAGCCTCAAGGATCACAAAGGTAGGGGGACGTTGGCAGGGTGCCCCTCATCTCTTCTTTTATACACATATCATGACCTGGGGGACCTCAAGCCAACGTGCCTTCTCTTCTCCCCTAAGAGACAGCCGGAGTTCCCAGCCTAGTTCAGCCAAGCTAGCCTAGAGGAGGGAACTTGGTGCCTTGGTTCCTGGCCTAGATCTGACATGCTTGTGATAGGAAGGGATGCCAGATTATTTCCCTTTACCTCCATTGTTCTTTCTTCCTGAGTCTAAGTGCCAGTTTTCCTGCCCTTTAAAAAAAAAATTATAAAAATTTATTCCCAGGCAGGGCGTAGTGGCTCACGCTGGCACTTTGGGAGGCCGAGGCAGGCGGATTACCTGAGTACAGGAGTTCAAGACTAGCCTGGGCAACATGGCAAGACCCTGTCTCTACTAAAAATACAATAAATTGCCTGGGCACAGTGGCACACACCTGTAATCTCAGCTACTCAGGGGGCTGAGGTGGGAGGATTCCTTGAGCCTGGGAGGTTGAGGTTCAAGGAGGTTGAGGCAGTGGTGAGCCATGACTGTGCCACTGCACTCCAGCCTGGGTGACAGAGTGAGACCCTGTCTCAAAAAAAAAAAAAAAAAAAAAAGGTCGGGCGCGGTGGCTCAAGCCTGTAATCCCAGCACTTTGGGAGGCCGAGACGGGCGGATCACGAGGTCAGAAGATCAAGACCATCCTGGCTAACACGGTGAAACCCCGTCTCTACTAAAAATACAAGAAAATTAGCCGGGCGAGGTGGCGGGCGCCTGTAGTCCCAGCTACTCGGGAGGCTGAGGCAGGAGAATGGCGTGAACCCAGGAGGCGGAGCTTGCAGTGAGCCGAGATCGCGCCACTGCACTCCAGCCTGGGGCACAGAGCAAGACTCCGTCTCAAAAAAACAAAAAACAAAACAAAACAAAAAAAAAATTTCCGTGGTTTGGCGCAGTGGCTCATGCCTGTAATCCTAGCACTTTGGGAGGCCAAAGTGGGTGGATCACGAGGTCAGGAGGTCAAGACCAGCCTGGCCAACATGGGGAAACCCCGTCTCTACTAAAAATACAAAAATTAGCCAGGTGTGGTGGCAGGCGCCTGTATTCCCAGCTACTCGGGAGGCTGAGGCAGGAGAATTGCTTGAAGCGGTGGGGCGGAGGTTGCAGTGAGCCGAGATCATGACACTGCCCTCCAGCCTGGGTGACAGAGTGAGACCCTGTCTCAAAAAAAAAAAAAAAAAAATTCTTCCCTTTCATTCTGCACCCTCTCCCCCATGAGTATAAGAAATCCTACCCCAGGCCAACCCTTGGATTGTCCTTCTGGCAGCAAGACAGGCTGTGACCAGTGGTGGTAGTTCTTCTAACTTTAAAAGTTGAGAGGCTCACCCTAAAACATCTTCATTCCTCTACGAGTGAGACTATCAACCATGGATGGATCTATTTTTTAAGCCTGCATCACTTCTTGAGATAATGAGGTTTCTACCTCCAAAGCCTGCTGGGTGAGCACCTTGCTCATTATACTGATTCTGAATTTACCTCTTTGAAGTTTCTAGATGCACCACTTCCTGCTCACAGCCTGGAATTCGGTTAACAAGTCAGTGTCAACCCACCTTTCCCTTCATGATTTATAGGCTTTTGGGAGTACCTTCTGGTAGCTTTTGTCTTCCCATAGGAAAGAGGCCCAATCCCAGTTTGTCCTCACAAAGCAGCCAGCCCCCTGATAACTCTTTTGCGGGCAGAGTTAGGAGTGTACACAGATCTCCACAAGTACCACGATTTTTGCCTCAGGAAGGATAAAGCACATGTTTGTTTATGCTTTCGTTTTCTTTTTTCTTTTTTTCCACGAAGCCTTTTGGAGAAGTATGTTTCTGCTTTTTTTCCTGAGGAAGCCTGGCTTCTGGGCCACGGGACTGATCCTGTCCACATCCTCGATCCCTCCATTCTCGGTCATGTCTCTGCCCCCGTCTCACCCCACCCCGTGCCCCTCTCTGCCTTAGTTTCCCCTCTTCCCCTGCAGTGAGTTTCCTGCGCAGCGGCACTAAGCTCATTTTCCGCCGGAGGCCTCGACAGAAGGAAGCTGGCCTGAGCCAATCACACGATGACCTCTCCAACGCAACGGCCACGCCCAGTGTCCGAAAGAAGGCCGGCAGCTTTTCTCGCCGCCTTATCAAGCGCTTTTCCTTCAAATCCAAACCCAAGGCCAATGGTAACCCCAGCCCCCAGCTCTGAGGACCCTCCTTACTTCCTGAGCTAGGAAAGGGCACAAGTTCTCTTAGCCCATTCCCCACCTCCCCTTCCATACCCCTTCCTGGATCTCCAGCGCCTGGGCCAGGAAAGTCCTCTGGGTTCCAGGAAGCCCTGTCCACCCTGGGCCACGGGGCCGGTTGGAAGGATATTTGGAACGGGAAGCACATGAGAGGTGGGCACCCGTTGCCAAGGACATAGACGAGGGACTGGTGGCTGGGAGGGAGAGAAGGGCCCTGTCTGGCATGTGTGGGCATTCCCCAGAAGCGTTTGCCTCCTGCTGAGCCTGGTCCCTGAGTGGAGTCCCAGGGTGCTCAGCTCTTCAGCTGACCCTTCCTCCCTTATTTATTCTCTTTTCTATTTATATGTGTGGCTTAGGACCCTCCGTGAACAGATGATAGAGGGCATCTCTCCTAGGTGACCCTTCTTTTCTGTCCCAGGAGGGTGGGTAATTCCCTTCAGGATGGGGCTCCCACACCTCCCTCAGGTCCCCACTCAGACCAGCACCAGTGTCTGCCTCTGAGAATGTTGGCAGCTCACAGACAGCAGGGCCGGCCCGGGATGGGGGGCAGGTACTCCCCACCTTTCTGCCTCCCTTCCTGCTCCTCATCCCTCCCTCCCCCTTTATTACCGTTTTTTGTACTTGATGCCTTCTCTGTGAGCAGTGGCTCTGTGGGAAGGAGGGAGCCGGGAGCTTGCTGGGAAGCCTTCCCCAGAGAGATGGCTTTAGGGGCTTTATTTAAAGACTGTGATGATGGAGCCACGCAAGGCTGCACCTCTGTGTGTTGGGAGACGATGATGATGTCCATTGCTGTGTGATGGCTTGGATTTTAATTTATTAAAGTCAAATTGGAGTTTATAAACTGGACAACTGGTTATCCTTTGAAAGGCAGTAGGCAGCCAGGCTGTGACATGGATGGTGTGGGAGGATGAGAGACAGGGGCCCGGATAATGAGGTTGGGTAGATGACACACATTGTGGATCTGCTAAGAAGTTCCTGCAGGGAAGAAGGGGTGTGCAGAGAAAGGATGGAAGAGACAGGAGGCTCTGGAGTGTGAAATTGTAGCAAAAAAGTCAATCGACTAGTACAGGTTAGTCTTCATTCCCCTTTCTGGAACACGCTCCTCCTTCTAGGATGTAATGGAGATCAGAGCTTGGACCCTGTAACTAGACTGCCTGCCTGGGTTTGAGTCCCAGCTCCTCTAATTACTTGTGTGACCTTGGGCAAGTTATGTAACCTCTTAAGTGCCTCAGTTTTCTCATCTGTAAAATGGGAACTTCAATCATCATAGCTATCATTTGGCTGTGGATGAGAAGTAAATGAAGTGCTGAGTAAGTGTTAACTGTTGCCTCAGAAGAAACTGGGAGGGGGAAGTCTTAGAAGTGTTTCAACATAGAAAAGCTCTCATTCTGAAATGTGGACAAATTTTAGGGATTGATAGATCCTAGCAAACTCTTGTGTCCCTGGTTCCTGTGCTTGGGATCTTATACAGGATTTGAACCAGGTAAGCTGCTACAGGATATTGGGCAGAATGCAGGACCAGGAAGCAAGAAAACTGAGTCTGCCACAAACAAACCAAGTGATCTTGAGCAAGCGACTTCTCCTTTGGGGACCTCAACTTCCTCATCTCTAAAATAAGGGTGACCTGGATAATCATTCAGTTCACTTCCAGCCTTGACATCCTATGACTATCTACATCTCAGGGTGTTTAGGGCACATGCCTTTGGGTAGATAGCATGTGGAAATTGTTACTGTTCCCCATGCTCCTGTCCACACTGTTAACCAAATATGAGATATCTGGGAACAATGGAGAGTATAGATACTTGTTTTTTTTTTTCAATTAGATAATTTAGTTTTATATATTTGGGGGCACAAGTGTAGGTTTCTTTCTTTTTTTTTTTTTTGAGACAGGGTCTCACTCTGTCTCCCAGGCTGAAGTGCAGTCGTGCGATCTTGGCTCACTGCAACCTCCGCCTCCCCGGTTCAAGCGATTCTCCTGCCTCAGCCTCCCGAGTATCTGGGATTACAGGCACATGCTACCACACCTGGCTAATTTCTGGATTTTTAGTAGACCCAGGGTTTCACTATGTTGGCCAGGGTGGTCTCAAACTCCTGACCTCAAGTGATCCACCCACCTCAGCCTCCTAAAATGCTGAGATTACAGGCGTGAGCCACCGCGCCCGGCCTAGTGCAAGCTTCTTACATGCACTTATTGCATGCATAGGGGTGAAGTTTGGGCTTTTTTTAGTGTATGCATCGCCCAAATAGTGAACATCATACCCAATAGGTAGTTTTTCAACCCCCACCCTCCTCCCACCTTCTCATCTTTCATAGTCTCCGATGTCTTTTATTCCGCTCTGTATGTCCATGTATACCCATTATTTAGCTCCCACTTATAAGTGAGAATATGCTATATTTGACTTTCTGTTTCTTGAGTTATTTCACTGAGGATAATGGCCTCTGGTTCCATCCTCAGGGTGTTTAGGGCACATGCCTTTGGGTAGATAGCATGTGGAAATTGTTACTGTTCCCCATGCTCCTGTCCACACTGTTAACCAAATATGAGATATCTGGGAACAATGGAGAGTATAGATACTTGTTTTTTTTTTTCAATTAGATAATTTAGTTTTATATATTTGGGGGCACAAGTGTAGGTTTCTTTCTTTTTTTTTTTTTTGAGACAGGGTCTCACTCTGTCTCCCAGGCTGAAGTGCAGTCGTGCGATCTTGGCTCACTGCAACCTCCGCCTCCCCGGTTCAAGCGATTCTCCAATGTGGGCAAATTTTAGGGATTGATAGATCCTAGC